GAAGCTGTGGCTGCCCCTGGATCCCTGGAAGTGTCCCAGACCAGACTGGATCACCCTGGGATAGCGGGAGGTGTCCCTGCCCGTGGCACGGCAGGACTGGATGATCCTGAAGGTTCCTTCCATCCCAAACCCTTCCAGGATTCCAGGATTCCCCACCCTGGGCACACTCTGCTGGATCTGTTCCACTTTATCCCTGTCCTTGTGGTGTCCCGGATCCCAGCCTGTCTCCAGGATGCTGTGGAGAGGGGGGTGATCCCTTCCCGTTATCCCTGGAAATAATGACTCTGCTCCCAGGGAACAAGGGACAGGATGAGAGGAAACGGCCCCAAGCTGTGCCAGGGGAGGTTTATTTGGGATATTGGGAAAAATCCCTCCTGGGAAGGGGCTGCCCATCCCTGGATCCCCATCCCTGGAGGGGGATGGAGCATCCCTGGGGAGGTGGCACTTGGGGACACGGGCAGGGCTTGGACTCTGTGGGCTCCGAGGGCTTTTCCAACCTCAGCAATTCCAGGATTTTCTCCAGATGCTCATTAATTCCTGAGAAACCCCTGGAAGGGCCACCAGCCCCCCCAGTTTCCCTCCAGCACTGGGAAGTGTCCTGTGTCCCTTGGCCCCAGGGAATCTCTCCTGGAGCTTCCCAGACCTCCTGGAGGGTGGGATTGGACGATCCCAAAGGTCCCTTCCCACCCAAACCGTCCAAGGATTCCACGGATGGAATTCCAAGGATTGCTCCAGGAGCCCGGAGGAGCTGCTGAGGTGGCACCTGACGTGTCCAGACTCCGAATAACCCGGAGGGCTGGAAAATCCCGAGCCAGCTGGGATCCTTCCTTTCCCTGGGGATCCAGGAGGAGATTCCCTTCTTCCCTTCCTTCCCCTCCTCTCCCAACACTGCCTCTTCCACAACCTGGGATTGGCCAAGGGCGCTCAAATTTGGGATTACTGAGGTTGGAAAATCCCTGGGAGAGCAGCAAATCCAGCCCTGGCTGTGTCCCCAGGTGCCACTTCCCCAGGGATGGGGATCCAGGGCTGGGCAGCCCCTTCCCAGGAGGGATTTTTCCCAATATCCCAAATAAACCTCCCTTGGCACAACTTTCCCCTTGTCCTGTCCCTCGTTCCCTGTCAGGGAACCAAATTGTTGGATAGGTCTGATCCATCACCTCTGGGACATCCGGGAATTCCACAGGGATCACCTCCCTCTCCCGCTCTGGCGCAGCCAGAAATTCCTGCTGCTTTTATTCCTTTATTCCCTTTTTTTGGTTGGTTGTGGCTTTCCCGATATCCGGGTGTAGCTCCGAAGGTTTTCCCGGTTTTGATCTTAATGATGGATTTAATGGTGGACTTAATTATGGATTTGATTCAGTGATCACTTTAACCATGGGATTTATCAGCCCAATCTCCCACGAATCCAACACGAGGTTTTTGGAAAACAAACACGGATTTTTTTCCGTCATCCCAAGGGCTGTGGGGTTGGTTTGTTTTTTTTTGGGATGCCTGGAAGGGCTCCACGTCCTGCTGTGACTCCACCAGGACTCGGGTTTTTAGCAGAGTCATCGTTTGCTGCTCTCCCTCCCTCTGGATCTCCCACAGATCCCGGTCTGGGATCACCATTCCCAGAACAGTTGGGAAATAGGCTCAAACCTTTGATTTGTTGCTCCAAAGCCTGGATTTTCCTGCTTATTTCCCAGCCTGGAGTGATTTGTTGTCCCAAAAAGCAGGAGATTTGAGGTGATAGTTGGGAAGTGGGATTTTGGGAAGGGGGGGGTGGGTTGATGCAGTGGAAAGCGTCCCTCTGGAATTGCAGAGCTGGAGGAGCTGGGATGGTCTGGGTGGCTCTGGAAGCTCTGGGAATGCTCCTGCCAGGAGGGTGCAGAGGGATCTTGTCCCGTGGGCAGCTCTGAATCCTGGAATCCACAGAATCCTGGAATCCTGGGGTGGGAAAGGACCTTCAATCCCATCCAGTGCCACCCCCTGCCATGGGCAGGGGCACCTCCCGCTGTCCCAGGATGCTCCAACCTGGCCTTGGACAATTCCAGGGGTTGG